CTTATGAAACTGGTAAATTTTTGTGAGCCAATCTTCTCAATAACTTGTAAGATTGCTGCAGCAACTGCTGATGAATTTTCAATGATTCCGGATGTATTTATCGAGGTGTAAAAAAAAGGCTTCTGCTCGGGCGCTTTAATACAAAAGTTCACTATGTGATCGCCTCTTATGTTCGTCCAGCCGTCAGACATCAGTGTTAAGTTTGTTTCAGAATTCAAAATTTCATTTACATAAATAGAACATTTTGTGTATTGTTTGTCGAGCAGAGATCCTAATAAGGCTTTAGCTTTCAGGATGACAGATGCGTACAATGGATTGAGCGACTTCACAAAATCCTTAAAGACCTCATATTCCACTAAACGAAATGATATACCCATACGGTAAAAGAAATTTGCAAGCTTCGTGTCGATATCATTTTCGAGCTCTTCATTAATCGGTGAATGTACACGCTGCATCGGTGAATCAGACGTAGACGGAAGTTGCTGAGAGTCATTGATCAGATGTGACGATTCATAATTACGCTTAGAAAACAATCATTTTTCCTCGACACTGGCGTTTTGACATATTGATCTTTTATGCGCTGTAAAGCGTTCCTTCGACCATTGAACAGTTTTGTTACATGCTAAACAAGTGCCAGAACGCTTCCCTCGATCAAGATTTGTCAAATAATTCGAAATTTTGATGTTTTCCATTTTAAACATTTGTTATGACGAAAATACGCGATTTCTTTATTTTAAATCACTTTAAATTGTAGTAAGAAACACTTTAAAAAGTTTATATCGATTGATTATATGTAGCTCGAACAAAAAAGAAACAGACAAGTAATGAAAAACTCGTAAAAAGTAGATAATTACCTACTTTTTACAAGTTTTTCAAAATGTCTGAAATTATTTTATTAAATATTGTCTGAAATTAAATTTAAAAAATAATTAATTTCAGGCATTTGATTCCGATAATTAAATTATCTGAATCAAATGTTTGAAGTAATTTTTTTTTATCATAATTTAAATTTTTCGTATCCTTTAAACTGTCTTCGCAGACGTCGGCGCCGACGTCTGCGCAGATATGCGCATAATATGTCTGCGCAGATCTGCGCATATGCATTTGCCGAACCCTACTATTTACTATATAGTATGGTTAGGTATATAAATTTTTATCACAATGCAATGGTCATGGCCTACTTAAATTACACGGCCTGATTTGTTGCATTTTTCGTAAAAAATTAAGAGGCCAGTTTTTTTTACGGCTTAAGTATAAAAACTTAAATTTGGTTAAGGTTAAGAGTCTTGTTTGCACTATAATTGTTTTGTTTTTATTTTATTAAAATGGTTTAATATTAGTTAGATTTTCTTTGATTACTTAAATTATTTTGTGCTAGATTTTCTGTTAACTGATTGCCTGCTTCAATTTATTCCAATAAAAAGGAATACTGAAATAGGCTTTCAGATAGCTATATCAACACATATTAACATGCTACTAAAAATAATCTTACATATTGCTAAAACTACCCACAACTCTCCATTGGAAATAATTTTAAAGGTTTGTAATTTTGTATTTATTAAATTGCAATTATTAAGTAGAAAACATAAACTTTTCTTTAAATTATTTACACTGCAAAATAAAGTTTTGCATTGTAAATACTTTATTATGCTGCATATCTCAAACATACAGCGATTAAAATGTAACAAATCAGGCTATTAATTTACAGTAGCCAAGAAATATCAGGCATACCAACTGTTTTGGAGTCAATAGCTGTTAATAAAATTCTAATTTTTTTTATTGCCAAATAAATGGTTATCATTCTTCTTTATTTAAATGGTTTCGCAGTGGTAAAAAATACAAATTGAAAAACTATAATATATTAGAAAAAACATTGACAAAAGTTTGGTATTAAGAGATTATTTGCTTCTTGTGGGTAAGGTGAACTTTCAAAAAGCAGCCAAGAGTAGTAAACATTTTGATGAAGATTGAGACAAAACAATCTTTATAAAGAATTGGTTTTTGTTTTTATGATTGTAGGGCTTCAAAAATTTATTCTTATGTTTTGAAATCATAACCTAAAGTTTACATAACAGGTTTATGTTTGAAAAAAGAAATTGATGAGTGTATTACCTCAATGCACCAATCTGAATTTAAGATAAAAACTACTGATGGTTACCGATAACCATTTTACAAATGTTAATGCATTTATATAGTTTCATAAAGCATATACTGGAGATCGAAAATTAATAATTTATCATTTAGTTTAGAAAGGGAGTGTTTAATATATACTTGTTATTTGATAAACTCGGTTTTTGTTTTTTTCTTCTTGTTGAAGTTACTGCTGATTACATTGCTGGGAATATATTTCTTAAAGTTTATTAAAAGATCACTTATTAAACAAGCAAGAAAAAGCAAGAAAAATTAATTATCAAATCACATATTTTGGTAACAACAAACAAGTTGTCAACATCGACAATATTTGACAAAACAACTGCAGCTACAACTGCTAATTTAGAGTTACTTTTCTGAAAGAAATAACGCAGCACAATTATCATTGTTTTATAAGTTATTTATCATACTTAATTCAAAGCAGATACTTAATTCATCTAATCAAACTCAGCAATGCTGCTATGAAAGGTGATAACAAACCCACACTTTATAGAGAAATTGCAAATTGTACTGAAATTTGATCAAAATAAAATTTGATAAATAGCTGACATTAACCAAACAAACTTCTTGTGCTCTAATTACAACACTACACGCATTTGTATTTCTTATGCATGATTTCCTTGAAGAAGGCTTTACATTTTTTTATAGTTAATTTACAAAAAGACCCTTTGGAGCTAGGTTTTATTAAGTATAGTTAAATACCCAATAGTAGACTTTTTGTGAGCCTTTTAGAAATGTGCATAAGTAAAAAGATTTTGTCAGATTTTCCCAGAAAATAGCACAAATATATATACTAAAGCAAGTAATAATGGTAAAAATTAACAAAAAGATTTTGATGTTAAACTTATGATCAATAAACATTACTTTATAAAGAGAAGAACCTATATATTTAATTCAACCTCTGTCTAATTTTATGTGTCATCTTTTTAGTATTTTATGCTATTTCTTTTATTCTAATAAAACATTGCAGTCATTCTTTTTTAATTAAAAATTTGCGAAACAAATTTTAAAGATTTGATCTAGCAGTTTCAATTTTACAAATAAAAACCACCAAAAATGGAAATCAAATATAGATCTCGTATTGTATTGCAAATTAATATAAAAAATATTATTATATTTTTTATAGTAATTTGCAAAAAAAGAATTACATATTCATTTAAAAAAGATTAAGTAAAAGAATTCCAAAAAAGACAAAATAAACATTTCTAGCAAAAATGTATTTCTTCTTTTTATTTCAATTATAAAAAATACAAAACTACAAACCTTTTTTTTGCTCAATGGAGAGTTTTAGGCAATCTAAGCAACATGAGAGATTATTTTTAGTAGCATGTTGGTATGGGTTGATATAGTTATCTGGGAGCCTATTTCAGTATTCTGTGTTGTTGGAATAAACTGAAGCAGGCAATCAGTTAACAGAAAATCTAGCAACAAATTAATGTAAGTACTCAAAGAAAATCTAACTATTATTAAACCATTTTAATAAAATAAAAATAAAACAATTATGGTGCAAACAAGACTCTTGACCATAACAAAAATTAAGTTTTCATACTTGAGCCGTAAAAAAACTGGCCTCTTAATTTTTTACGGAAAATGCAACAAAGGCCGTGTAATTTAAGTAGGCCTTGGCAATGGTTTATTAAAATTGAATATCATCTATATATATATATATATATATATATATATATATATATATATATATATATATATATATGTATATATATATATATATATATATATATATATATATATATATATATATATATATATATATATATATATATATGTTTTGCTTGGGGGTATACATAGACATCTATTTACCTATTTGCTATGAAATCAGGATTGAATTCTTTGACCGTTCTTTTATTTGCTTCCGCATAGCGCCTCTTCACTTTATCACCTTTTTCTTTTTCCTTTATCATTCTCCTTCTTTCCTAGTCTACACTTTTTTAGGTGTAGTTTCTGATCAAATTGACCATACCTTTTCTTTTTAACACTCTGCCAATATTGCTGTTATGTGTGATTTTAATGCTCATTACACTGAATGGCTTGGCTGTCCTTGCATGCTTTAAAAACTTTTATTCGTCTAGTTTTTTCCCAACACTTCAACCTCTCCTCTCTCTCCTATTTTCATGTTTTCCTGACTCATACAATCTTTGAACAAAAACTTTTTAAATGTTCTGTCAAGCGTTTCCTTGCTCTTTAAATCTATCCTTTTTTTTTTAGTAACTTCCAATTTAAAAGTGCTTGCAGCCTTGTTGGGCATGAGTCAGAGTAGGAAAAAAAATATAGTAACTCATTGTTAATGGCAATTTTTTTTGATCCGTATTTGTATGTGCCACTGTATCAAGTGCTTTTTTTCTAAAATCTAAAATCAGATGGATATTTTACTTTGATAATCTTGACTGAATAAAGTAACAGTTATGTAAGTATTCGAACTAATTGACTATATGAACTATAAGACTAATTGAAGAATCTATCTATTATTTCTATTAGAATTAAGCGACAGCTTTTTTTTTAAGCAAAACCTTGTTTTTTATTTATAGTCAAATCGTGAATGCTTTGATGTTGCATCATTGTATTCCTTGCAATACACTCCACAATACTCTTTGCAATATACTGCTCAGTATTGAAGTAAAAATAATTCATTAAATAACATCCTTCTAATCAGTGCCGGCCTTAGCCCTTTTGCCGCCCTCGTGCAAAATTTGTCCTGTCGCCCCTGAAAATTTTATAAACGTGCTGGTAATTTACATAAAAAATAATAACAAATCGAATTCAAAAATAATACTTTGCAATAAAACGCTACATACAAAGAAACATTTTTTGTTTATGTTTTACACAAAATACATTTAATTTTTTACATTAATCTTACGAGCCTTCTTATCACCAAAATCTTTGATTAGGGTTGAAAAATCAAGATTTTCTGCAATATTCTTTTCAATCGATAGGGTTCCTAAACTTGAAAGTCTATCCTGCGGCATTGTTGACCGCAGATAGGTTTTTATTAGTTTCATTTTGGAAAAGCTTTTTTCTCCACTCGCTACAGTGACAGGTATTGTTAGCAAAATTCGCATTGCAATCCATGTGTTTGGATACAAATCTTGCATTTTGTGCTGTTTTATAAAGTTTAAAACAATAATAGGAGTAATTTTATCCTTGATCATTTCAGAAAGAAAAGGTTTAATGCTTATCAGTTCATCGCAAAGGAGAACACCATTATTGTCCGATTTTAGAATTTCTTCTCTTTTTTGCAAACTATCGACATTATACAAAAAACCCCAAACTTCGGAATAATTCTCCAACTGTATAAATCTTTCTCTTATTGAAATTAAAGATGTGTCTAAAAGAGGATTGAAGAAATCGATTTCTAATTTTTTTTCAGGAGAAAATAAATAAATCCCATCTTGGGCTGGTTCGTCAAAATGGCGTTTCACTCGTATTATTCTTTTAAGTGGTTTAAAAGCAGGCTCCACTTGTAATTCTAAAGCCAAATCCTTTGCTTTTATAATTGCATCTTTAAAACCACATTTTCTATAGTTTTCTAAAAATGATCAACAGCTTTTCAATAACTTTGCACATTGAGTGATGTCCATGTCTTTTTCTTGTTTTAGTTTTACTAACAATATTGACTTGAAAAAGAACGTCATACCAGACAATTAAAGAGACAAGAAAGCTAAAATCTTTTAATTGCTCTCCTAGAGTTATCGCTTCATGTGCAGTTTCAGGATTACATCCTTCAATTTCTGACAATGCTATCAAAGCGTCATGTACATCACCAACTTGATAACGAACGGCTTTAACACTACTTATTTTTGCTTCCCACCGCGTGTCACAGAGTTTCTTTAAATGCAAAATTTTAACATGATCAATTAAAATTTTTTATCGGCTCACTGAAGCTGAGAATAGAGTAAACAATCTCTGAAGAATACCGATAAAAGCTATAGATTTTACTGAAGACCGTGCAGAGTCACTTATTACCAAATTTAAGCTATGGTTGCCGCAAGGAACATATAATGCTAAAGGATTCAGATTTAAAATCCTTTTTTGTACACCATTAATCTTTCCTTTCATATTTGATCCATTATCATACCCTTGACCTCTGCAGTTAGAGATTTCAAGTCCATGCTTAGTTAGCAACTCGATTAAAACCTCAGTAAGTCCTAAGCCTGTAGAATCAGAAACAGAAAAGAATCCTAAAAAGTACTCTTTAATTTCCACTCTAATGTCTAATGACAAGTCAACAATTCGAATAGTAAGAGAAAGTTGTTCTTTTCTAGAAATATCAGGTGTACAATCAGCAATAATTGAATAGTAAACGGCTTTCAAGACTCGGTTTATTATTTCATCATTAACCTTTTGAGACATTAAATCTATTAACTCATTTTGAATATTTTTCCCGCAATAATGGTCTGAAGTGTCAGCAAGTGCTAAATGCTTTTGCATCACAGGATCAAATTTTGCAAGCATCTGTATTAGTCCTAAGAATTTGCCGTTTTGAGGCGTAAACAGTTTATCCGAACTCCCTTGTAAAGCCTTATTATTTTCAGCTAGGTAAAGAGTGATATTCATCAGCCGAAGAAGAACATTTTGCCATCGCAAACTGTTTTTTTCTATAATTTTAATTTCTTCATTATCTATAGTTTTTCCAGTTTTTAATCTTATTTCAGTTTCTACCCACTGTTGATAGCATTTCATATGAGAGACGCTGTTTTCATGAGTTCCCAATGTTTCAGTTAAATGTCTCCATTTCTTGAAACCATCAGAGACTAAGTTTGACTTTGAATTAATATCAAAAAGTAAACAGCAAAAACAAAAAAAGGAGTTTTTAGAGTCTGAATAAACCAACCATCTACGGCAAAAGGTTTCTCCATTCGCAAGCTTTCTATTGTAATAAATGCTAGAAAAATGTCAACCATTTCTATCTTCAGGGTATTTTTCCTTTGTAATTTGAAAAGGACCAAGTTTGATTAAATGGTCCACAAAGTTGCTAGATCGAACAATTGGCCAATTTCCACAATCCAATAAATTAGGTGTTTCTTGTAAAAAATCTTCCGATAAATCACTCGATTCTTTTAAAATAACTGGTTCAATATCTACTTCAATTTGCAATGAAGTTATACAACTATTTTTGAGTATTGTTGAAGGTTCTCCAATTTTATTGGACATAGTTGTAGAGATAGTTGAAGCATCAGGGTTAAAATCTTCACAACCTTCGTCAGGTTTTTTATAAGCAACATATTTTTCAATGCTCATGAATTTTTTAATTTTTTCAAATTTTTGATCTTTAACGGACTTTCTTTTTCTGTACTCATAACCAGACAACTTTTTTCTCAAATTTGAAATTTTATGTGACATGAGACAGAATATTTTTTAAGATAAAATTATTTTTACAATTTAAAAAAAAAAAAAAATTAACAAAGTTCTCAAAAAACATTCATAAAATTATGAAAGAAATAAAAAAAAAAGTAACTAAACTTACTGAAAATTGTTTAAATCGAGTCAACTTAACATTTAATAACAAAAAATAAAAACTTTTGAACTTCTTTATAAAAAATTTTTTGCATTTTTTCGAAATGACTCCTAGGGAAAATAACGCACAAATGGTACTACAAAATTACAATAGAAAATCGTGCGTTAATTAAGTAAATGTAGTAGTTTTTTGTATTCAACTTTAAAACCGTGTTTTTTTTTTGCAAAGGTCGTTAAATCTTTTAATTTACTTTAAATTTTTAATATACTACTGGAAAATTAAAACTTGTGACTAATAAAATTCTCCGCCCCTATTTACTTGCCGCCCTCGTGCAACGCACAACCTCGCCCCCCCTCCTAAAAGCCGGCGCTGCTACTAATGAAAATTACTGGATACAATATACTTTGCATATTTAAATATTTTTAGTTCTAGTGATAGTTGATGGTTTAATGAAAAGGTATGATAAGGAAAATCTGTTTTTAAATAATCAAGCTTGTATATCTGCTTGTTGAAATTGTTTTGAAATTTTTTTCGATTAACGTCTAAAGCGAAATAAATTATATATAATAAATCAAGAAATAAAGTAAATAATGATGTCTTTTGAGTTTGTTTTTTGTCATTCCTTTAAGTTGTTAAAAAATTGAGTGCTCCTACAATAAGCACACCATATCTTGTTAATTAATTTTATATCTGTATTGAGTTGTTATTTCTTTTACAGTAGTTTAGATTCCAATTATTATACTGTAGGTACTGTTAATGGTGATGTTTTAAATAACATTATCTTATCTATAATAAACTCCTATACTGAAGGCATAGGAATAAAAGTTAATAGTGTTACTTCTGATATGAGTGCCATCAACCAGGCAATGTGGAGATATTTTTGTTCTTTGGTCTCTTGGTGTAAAAATTTTTCTTCAAACACTTTTAGTCTTATTTCTAAATTATTGCGCAATTTAATTTTATGTATGAGATTATGAGACTTTCCAAACTCAGCAGCGATTTCACGATAAGATTCTCCCAATTTAAGCCTTTCCACAATATTTTTTTCTAGTTCAAGATTTATTTTCCTCAGGATGATAATAACAATACTTTTTTTATGTTTTGTAAACAAAATCAAACTTTAAATGATATTTAATCATTAAAAATCTGTGAAAAGTTGATAATTCAATCATTTTAGTCATAAGGCTATTAATTTATGTTGTATGCCTAATTAACTGTGGACAAATATGTTAAATGCTTTCATTCGCGACAAAATTGTCACCATTAGCTTTTCACATAAAAATTAAAAAAAAAAAATCAATATCTTCTAAATTTAACAAAAAGCAATATTTTTAGTTAGCTAAGTCTTAAATTTAATTAATAAAACTAAAATTTCATTTTTCTTTACTGCTTTGCTAATAAATAATATATAAAATATCTTTTTGTTCAAACATGGTGACAATTTTGGCACATACTGTATATATTGTAGGAATTATGTTAATATTTCCAGCGTGTTATATAATTAGTAGAGCAAATATAGTGAAAACTAAATAATTATTAAGATATATTTCAATTACATAACTAAAAGTTTCACGCAATAGCGATCATAAGATGTAACAACAACAAAAAAGTAATGACAAAAATTATATACAAAAAATGATATGGAGTGTCCGCTTTGATGACATTAAAGTTCTTTATTAGAAATTTATTTTCATGGTGGCATTTTGACGCAAGCTCAGTTCGTTTGTTAAGCAAATTTAATGGTGAGATCATTTTTGGTATTGATTTAATAATGCTTAGTGAATGATTAGAATTGATGTTAATATATAAAGAATTATCTCCTGGTTTTCTATAAGGTTTAAAAGAGTTCTCAGAAAGGTTAAATGTGATATCAAGAAAATTTACGGTTTTTAAGTTTGGTTTGATAGTGATGCTAAGATTGTCAACTTAAAGGTTAGTTATAGCTGTCTTCCAAACACCAAGAGTATTATTACTTCTCATAATAAAAAGATATTATTTAGTTCTCATGAAAATGCCAATAAATTATGCAATTGTCGACAAACCACCTTATGCCCACTCAATGGAAAATGCTTTACAAAAAATCTTATTTATATTTGCAATGCAAAAACTCACCAGGAAGAAGAAGGATATTATTACGTTGGGCTTACTGAGAAAACATTCAAAGACAGGTGGTATAAGCATAAAAAATCCTTCGTTTATGAAAGTAAGGCCAAATCCACTAAACTTTCGAAATTTGTGTGGGAATGCAAAAATAAAGGTATAGAACCTATATTAAAATGGAACCTAGATTAAAATATATATATAATATATATATATAATACATATACATACACATAAGTATATATGCATATACATACAAATGATAGATTACTTGCCTAAACCAAACCCTCAGTCAGTGTAGGCTATAAGAAGGCTATAAGTCAATGAAGCAGCGCTTCCTGGTAGCAGTAGGCTATGAGATAGTTGATGTATCATCATTTCCTTGTAGCAGCAGGCTATAAGAAAATCAATGTATTAACACTTCGTGCATGTTTTACAGTAAAAAAATATAAATAAAATAAAAATATTCAGAATGTTTTTAAAAATTTTCAGAATGTTCTAAAAATCATTCTAGTCTTTTAATTTGCGTTTTTGTGGTTTATTTAAAAAATCTTTATTTAAAAAAATTAAATTTAATTACTTTCCAAGTTAAATTAATGCGTTTTCTTATCGGCCCTGGCCTTGACTATGGTTTATCAAACTCGCTTCTATCCGGGTCAGGTATCAGCCTCAGTTGCTTACTAAAGGTATGGAAGGTGCCTGCGGAGCATGCATGGCATATCATTGTTGAGCAACCAATTTTTAAAAGTTCTACAACTTCAGTAGTTTTAAAGTTAAAAAAATTATTTTGATAAATGCATTTTTTTAAGGTCTCTTTCATTTATAGTGGTGATAGTCTAATATACATTGACTCTGTTTCAATATCAATTAATGGTATGAGCTGTACCTTTGTTGAGAAGAATTTTGATTATTTATGATGGTGGAATTTTGATTATTTATGATGGTGCGCATTTAAATGTTTCTAATATTCAAAATATTTATTCTAGGTATCATTGCAAGTTGCTCGTCAATAACTTCATCAAATAATTGTGGATTAAGTACTTCAGGGTCTTCTGAAAGGAGAAGGGTATTTTCAGGTTAGCCTTTTGCTTTTTATTAATTTACCATTTTTATGTGCAAAATTTTTGGCACAATTTGTTTTTAAAATTTAAAAAAAAAAATTTATTTAAAAATTTAATAAATAATAATAATAAACATAATATAATAACTAACAATAATGAATACCTTTGTTTAGTTTAAAACAAAAGTTTAAAAGAAATTAATGAAGACAATTTTTAAATGTTTTTTAAATGTTGAAGATATTGAAGATATAAAAAAATATTTTCTAAAAATATTTTTAAAAAGTTTTTATGTTTTTTTTTGATTTATATATTAACACATAAATTAATAGATTACTTTATAAATATTTTTATTTTTTCCTTAAATGTCATAAATTGTGCAAAGCATAATTTATGCTTTTTTTTTCACGTGCGAAAATCATTATTATTTACCAATGATCAAGTTTGGATAAAGAAATCAAGTAGTTTGTTTGATGTAACCATAGGTGCATTTGATGGTGCGGAGGTTTGTGAACTAGTTGGAATTTTCCTTCTTTTCCAAATTTCCCAATTTTATAGCAAGCATGATTTAGAGTTGTATAGTGATGATGGCTTAGCTGTGTTCAAAAATGCAAGCGTTCCTAAATTAAGAAACATTTCACGCAAATATTTAAGTAAAACAGCCTTAGTATTTCTATTCAATCTAATATGAAATTGATAATTACCTAGATGTAACATTGAACCTTAACAAAAGTAGTTTTTAACCATACCACAAACCTGATAGTACATTAAATTACATCCACCTAATATTTTAAAACAGTTACCAACTTCAATTGAGCGTAGGTTATCAACTAGTTCTT